AAGTGAGTTCAAAAGACTATGAATAAGTTGGGTACTACAATCGTTTACTAAGTTGAATCAGGCAGTTACGCCGCACGTCGTCATGGTGCGATTTGGCGCCCCGGGCTAGACTGTGGACACTTTGAGTTTATCTTTATCTTTGCGTTTGTGTTTTCTTTGTGTTTGAGTTTGGGTTTGCGTTTGTGGTTGTGTTTGCATTTGGATTTGGGTTTGTTTTCGTTTGCTTTTTTTCTTTGCGTTTGTGTTTTCGTTTGCTTTTTTCTTTGAGTTTGTGTTTTCTTTGTGTTTGTGTTTGTTTTTGTGTTTTCGTTTGCATTTGTGTTTGTGTTATGTTTTCGTTGTTTTTTTTGGTGTGTTTTGGTTTTGTTTGGTTGTGAATGGGTTTGTGTTTGCATTTGGAATTGTTTTCGTTTGCTTTTTTGGTTGTGTTAGTGTTTGTGTTTTCTTTGTGTTTGTGGTTGGGTTTGTCTTTACGTTTGTTTTTGTTTTTTCGTTTTTGTGTTTGTTTTGTGTTAATGTTATGTTTGCGTTTTGTGTGTGTTTTGGTTGGTTGTGGTCAGGGTGGGCAATGCCGGGTAAATGCTGATTACTAAACACACAAGTTATGGTCCTTTACAGATACGTTTTTCAGAGATGCCAGTGCAGGGCCTGGCCGGGACGGCTAGTATATATATATATATATATATATATATATATATATATATATATATATATATATATATATATATATATATATATATATATATATATATATATATATATATATATATATTCTCCGGGGGTGCACTTGAAATTTTCGGGGGGGGGGGGGGGGCGGACAACAATTTTCGGGGGGCGGACACTGTCAAAAGTATATATTTTCTATATAAATTCCATTTCGTTCGGGGGGGGGGTAGACTTTCTTCGGAGGGGGGGGGGGGCGGTGCCTGGAGCTGCCTGGAAGAAACTCTGCCCGTGCTCCGCCACGGTGAATCTTTTCTAAATATACCAACTTGGGAACAGAACAAAACTAAACACAAACTCTAACACAACAAAAAAGAAAACGCAAACACAAAAAAACAATGCAAACACAAACACAATGCAAACGCAAATAAACCGGGAGTGATCTCCCCTAAACTTTCTCGAATATTCTTATATAACTCGGAATATAGACATGATTTTTAATTACTTAAACTTTTAAAAATAGAATAGAATCTCGTAGAAAAAAGAATTGCGCACCAAGCGGACGCCAAAACAAAATGTGCATAATAGTGCGCAATATTATTAGTACTTAATAAATTTACATGCGTTTTTTGATAAATCAAAATAGCGTAAATTAGTACTTCTGGTCAACGGAAATAACTCAAAATTTGACAGAAAGTAGAGAATTAGATCTTTTAATTACATGTGAAATTTCATTTATCTATCTAAAATAGTACTCAAGTTATAGCCTTTTGAAAAATTCAAAGTAGAAAAAGTACCACTTCCGGTTATCGGAAATCTCTCAAAAGTTGACACGGATCTACGATTTTGATAAAATACTTATATATGAAATTTCATCAAGCTAGCTGTAACGGTACTCAAGTAATCGTGTTTACACACACAGACATACGGACAAGATTGCAAAATTATGTTTTTCCGTATCAGTGAGGTGTAAAACGTCGAGATTTGTAAAAATCTCGACTTTTTTGTCTGCACGATTACAAGACTTTCTCTATACTTCGTATATACGAGAAAGTAAAAAACAAACGCAAACACATTTCATAAACACAACTTAAATAACAATCCATGCTAATTATAATATTCCAACAATGCCCTCACGCATGTTCGCGGAATTTGCATTCACATTTTTTTAATTCGCGTGAGTTGAGTTTTAAAATTACCTCCCCTGATATAACTATTAAATATTTTAATTCATTAGTTTTTTCGACCCTACTGTTATTAAAATGTATCAACTTTTTTTAGTAATATAAGCGATAATATTATTTGACATTGATCCGTTTAATAAGTTTTAGCAATGTGCGTGTATTTAAAATTTTCTTCACATTATGCAAAAAAGTAGAAACTGTGGCAACTAAAAAAAAATTTAAGTCGTAATATAAACAAACCGTACTCTAATATTTGTGATAAGACAATGCGATGCTATTTAAAGGCACTGCATAGTTCGATGTTTACTTTTATGGTTCGTAATAAAACAGATAGTATTAGTTACCTCACAAGTTAAAGACAGTTACAAGTACTATGGACGTTTCGACCCAAGGTCTTCGTCAGCACACAACAGTGTGATTACAGATTAGACAAATAAAGACAAACAGTAACACATTTTTTGACTTAGCTCGACAGTGAAAACACGTCTTGTCTGCTAGCCACGATATCCAAAAGAGAAGACGCGTGAGAAGGACGCTTGGACACCGTATAGGGGTGGGGTTGGGGGCGTGGTGTATGCGGGAGGGGGGGGGGGGGTTGTTAGGTGAAAGATATCTGTTCATTCAAGCCATCGGGTGCCCGTGTACCAAATTTAAGTATTAGTCGCGTTTCAGTGCTAAGGCGATTTTTAAAATTGTGGCAAAACCGAACGGCGGTTACACAAAAGTCATTTTTTAAGTCATGCCCACTCTTGTTGAAGTGTTTGGCCACAGGAAGACCGTCTTCATTGTTGATTGATCGCAGGTGTTGGCTAACCCTGTCAGACAATCTTTTCCCCGTTTGTCCGATATAAAAGATGTTGCAACGCCTGCACTGGATGACGTAAACTACGTTGCGGGACTCACAGTTGAAGTGATTTTTAATTTTGAGGGTTCCCTTCGGCAGCTGCAGTGATTCAACCTGAAGGGTGAAATGACAGGTATTGCATTTACGGGTACAAGGATGGTTCCAAAATCGATAGCGATGACGGAAGGAAGGATCGACACACTACCAGCGGCGTTATATATATATATATATATATATATATATATATATATATATATATATATATATATATGTATATATATATATATATATATATATTTATATCTTAAAGGCTACGCCTCCAAAGTTTTCAGCCTGGGACTCCGCTCAAGCTTAGTCCGCCCTGCCCCCACCTGCCCTCCTACACACCCGCGTTCCTACGCTTCCATGGCCTCCTACGCGCCAACATGAATGTACTGTTAAGAAGGTGCCAGCGTCAGATGGCTTAAATTTCTAACGTTCCAATTCAAGTACAGTTCTGCTGGTTCCACTCAAACTGTTTTCCATGAACAAAACATGCAACAATCGAAACTTGTCACAGCCAATGGAAGGAGTATAATGGTTTGAGGCTAGATTTAATGTTGCTACTTTGCGAGGTCTCTTGTAAAAATTTAAATGTGTATTTTCCAACTAAAAAACGAACTGTGTTTACAGCAATGGGATAGAAATTCCGGAAGTTGGCAATTAAAAATAAACATTAATGGCGGGCACACTGAAAGTGCTTATTTTGGCTAACGATAGAGGTGATCTATCAAGGAAAGTAATTGGTACTAACTTAGTACTAAGGGAAGTAATTCTTCCTTTTTTTTAATACACAAAATTTTTGTGAAAGCTGATACATTTGATTTTGTTCTTTGTACATTACGTCAATTAAAAAGATAAGTTTGGCAAATGAAAACTTTATATATATATATATATATATATATAGTGATTTTTTTTAAAGACACCAATTTAGATTGTAGTCCAAAAATGAACACCTTAGACTTAGAAATATTACACATCGGCGATTTTTGTATATCATATGCCAGTGTCGTAACGATGTCGGGTGTCACCCCCCCCCACCCCCCCGTAAAAAATATAGATACATCTATATTCAATATTCCCATGTAAGTATGTGTATACGCATGTATGTATTCAAATATTTATATATTATATAAGTATGTGATTACGCATGTGTATATGTATTCAAATATTTTTTCTGCTGGATGTATTTAAATTCCCCCCCCCCTACATGGATTAACGTATAGCTTATTACGATTCTCAAACAAACCGTTTTCCTCAGGCATATATATTGCAACGTTGAGTTGATGTAACACCTCCAACCCTCGGTGATTGCTGTAAATTGTGCTCAGATATACTAACGATTAGTATCTATTATTCGGTTATAAATTCAGCTGGATGTTGCAAGTTTTTTTTAATTAGCAGGTTTACGTCATTGTGTCACCTCCCCCCCCCCCCCCCACGGATTTGTTCACTTTGCTCTTAAAAGGCTATTTAATTCACTATAATGAATCATTTATTTCAGTGAAATAATAATTTTTCTGTATAATTTTGCTATTTTTTTGCCTTGGTGTCACCCGGTGCGGTCCGCACCCCCTTTGCTATATGCATGTCTTTCGCACATGTGCCCACAAAGCAGAGAATCAATTTCATCTTTATTAGATTCAATAGTTTAAGTTACACCAAAATTTTAATTTTTAGTACATTTTTTTTTGTGTGTGATCTGTGAATAAAATAAAAGCCTTATTTCCTAAATATTTATTTTTATAAGAGATTTTTTTTGTATAATCAATGGCGTCATTCTTGTTGTTTAAAGTTTCGTTTCACTTGATTCAATATTTTCCTCTACATTTCATGTGACGCGATTCTCTTTGCATGTGATGGTTTTCTTTTCTCTTATAAGCTTTTATTAAACTTGCTCTCTGTGGACAGTTGGAGAGACTAGCTCAGGACTGAGCTTTCTGTGGACAGTTGGAGAGACTAGCTCAGGACTGAGCTTTCTGTGGACAGTTGGAGAGACTAGCTCAGGACTGAGCTTTCTGTGGACAGTTGGAGAGACTAGCTCAGGACGCCTGGAAAGTAGTTTTCTATGACGGGCCCAGTCTAAAGCACAACTGACAGAAAGGTTAGGTTTGCCTGTCGTCCCTCCTGGGAATAAAATTTCAACCACTTCTAATGGACCAATTTCTCTGGGTCAAGATCCGATGACTTATGCAATTAACTAAGTCAAATTAGACTTTATTAATTGTTTAAAGATTAATTACAAATTTCCTATATAAAGACCCATGAAATAAATGATCGTTCTTGTTTTATGTATAGGGCCTACATGTTTTCATTTGTGTTTAGATGAACTGAAGTTGACATGAATCCCAATAGCTCTACATTAAAATACATGTCTTTCTATTTGGTAGAGTTGAGATGAAGTGAATGAGCCCACACAATGTACATTTCTATTGAACAAGTTGATCACACAACGCAGGTTTTTAGCATGACTGTAATGTAAAGAGAGAAAACAGGAGGGAGGGGGAAATGACTCAAACTATTTCTGTATGACATACAATGTTATGGTATCATGTACAACTCACTCAAACAATAACAATGTATGATATACAATGTTATGGTATCACGTACAACTCACTCAAACTATTTCTGTATTACATACAATGTTATGGTATCACGTACAACTCACTCAAACTATTTCTGTATTACATACAATGTTATGGTATCATGTACAACTCACTCAAACAATAACATTGTATGATATACAATGTTATGGTATCACGTACAACTCACTCAAACTATTTCTGTATTACATACAATGTTATGGTATCACGTACAACTCACTCAAACTATTTCTGTATGACATACAATGTTATGGTATCCCATTCAACTGGCACATCTTAATATGAAGATTAAAGCTCACGAGTTCTGTCAAATTATAGTCATTCTTGCTATTGCCACTTCTCATGACATATGACAGACAACATGGCATGACGGTGACATGATATAGAACATGACATAAGAAAATGATATGATCCAGAAGAAAAAAAAAATTCTTTCAGATTTGACAAAAACCAACTATGTGTAACTACCAAGGTCAGCTCATCAGACATTGCATACTTTAGGAGCAAATAGTATAAGACTCTCCATGATTGGCACAATTCAAATCAAGAAACAATTGCATACATGTTGCAAACAGCCAGTTGTATGTACAATCTAATGCTAGCAATATTAGAAGCAGTCAAGCCTGGCCATAAATTATTCTGTACATGAAGACTTAGAAACCAATGGAAGGGGGGCAATCAATATTAAATCTTTCTCTGTCACAATGTGACCTTAAGAAATGTACAATATTTACATCATTCACAGCCCAATTAGAGAACAAAAGTAATGCTTTCAACATGTCTGTCTAGTTGTAGAACAAAAGTAATGCTTTCAACATGTCTGTCTAGTTGTAGAACAAAAGTAATGCTTTCAACATGTCTGTCTAGTTGTAGAACAAAAGTAATGCTAGTCTTTCAACATGTCTGTCTAGTTGTAGAACAAAAGTAATGCTAGTCTTTCAACATGTCTGTCTGTCTAGTTGTAGAACAAAAGTAATGCTAGTCTTTCAACATGTCTGTCTGTCTGTCAATTTGTATCAAGGATGGAAGATGGACAAACATCTTATGTCTAGGAAGATTTTGTAGAGGAGAATTTTAGACATTCTACCAAAGCACATTGATTAAATAAATGACATATTTGTGTAAGTTAGAGAAGTATTTAACATATCAATATCAAACTGTGAATGCATTGGAAGCTGTCAACACTATAAATGCTTTCAATGAATGTCTGCTGATTCAGCTTACAATAGGAATACAACTTCAGCATTCAACACAGGCTTACAACTGCTATACAACTTCAGCATTTAACACAGGCTTACAACTGCTATACAACTTCAGCATTTAACACAGGCTTACAACTGCTATACAACTTCAGCATTTAACACAGGCTTACAACTGCTATACAACTTCAGCATTTAACACAGGCTTACAACTGCTATACAACTTCAGCATTTAACACAGGCTTACAACTGCTATACAACTTCAGCATTTAACACAGGCTTACAACTGCTATACAACTTCAGCATTTAACACAGGCTTACAACTGCTATACAACTTCAGCATTTAACACAGGCTTACAACTGCTATACAACTTCAGCATTTAACACAGGCTTACAACTGCTATACAACTTCAGCATTTAACACAGGCTTACAACTGCTATACAACTTCAGCATTCAACACAGGCTTACAACTGCTATACAACTTCAGCATTTAACACAGGCTTACAACTGCTATACAACTTCAGCATTTAACACAGGCTTACAACTGCTATACAACTTCAGCATTTAACACAGGCTTACAACTGCTATACAATTTCAGCATTTAACACAGGCTTACAACTGCTATACAACTTCAGCATTTAACACAGGCTTACAACTGCTATACAACTTCAGCATTTAACACAGGCTTACAACTGCTATACAACTTCAGCATTTAACACAGGCTTACAACTGCTATACAACTTCAGCATTTAACACAGGCTTACAACTGCTATACAATTTCAGCATTTAACACAGGCTTACAACTGCTATACAACTTCAGCATTTAACACAGGCTTACAACTGCTATACAACTTCAGCATTTAACACAGGCTTACAACTGCTATACAACTTCAGCATTTAACACAGGCTTACAACTGCTATACAACTTCAGCATTTAACACAGGCTTACAACTGCTATACAACTTCAGCATTTAACACAGGCTTACAACTGCTATACAACTTCAGCATTTAACACAGGCTTACAACTGCTATACAATTTCAGCATTTAACACAGGCTTACAACTGCTATACAACTTCAGCATTTAACACAGGCTTACAACTGCTATACAACTTCAGCATTTAACACAGGCTTACAACTGCTATACAACTTCAGCATTTAACACAGGCTTACAACTGCTATACAACTTCAGCATTTAACACAGGCTTACAACTGCTATACAACTTCAGCATTTAACACAGGCTTACAACTGCTATACAACTTCAGCATTTAACACAGGCTTACAACTGCTATACAATTTCAGCATTTAACACAGGCTTACAACTGCTATACAACTTCAGCATTTAACACAGGCTTACAACTGCTATACAACTTCAGCATTTAACAGTCTGAATGATGTGGCCAAAATGTGGATGACTTGGCCATAATGTGGATGACTTGGCCATAATGTGGATGACTTGGCCATAATGTGGATGACTTGGCCATAATGTGGATGACTTGGCCATAATGTGGATGTGGCTGTGAGTGAAAGAGTTTCAATGCTATCCAGCGCCTTTTAGCTGACAGAGTTCTGTTTCTTGTGGCCTCCAACTCTGGGTTTTATTTTCTGTGAAATCTGCCACAGGACATCTTCATTCAGGTAGTCTTCAAAGTTGTTCAATGTGTTCATGATCTTTTCATTGCGCTTCATAGTGTAGTTACTGCAATACAAAGGCAGATTCAAACTGAGCAGATGTAAAGAAATTGTGTTTGAAATATTGTCAGCATTGAGTGTTTCAAGAGACTGACCTTGTACGGAAGCGCCTCATGCTGTCCAATATGTTGAATTGTTGCCAGTGTTTAGCAAAGTTGATGCTACCATCTGGCAACTTGTCTGGGTTTCCAATGTTGACAAAAGTCAGGTCTTGAAGGATCAGCCCACTAGAGAAGACAGGACATCTGACTTAGGCTGATCGTATTAAGTGAGGTTTTGGTTGCTCATGAGATCTTTTAAGGGGATATGCTATGTTTTTTTTTTTATTTTTTTACAGTTTAAGATCTAAAGCCTTTTGAATACTTTTATCATATTTGGCATATAAGAGAAAGTATTAAACAGCACAAAAAAAGGGTCGAAAACAATTGTGGTTGTCATGGAAACCCAAAAAACCTCCGCCATTTTGAATTTTTTGGTACTTTTAAAAATACTAAGGCTTTTTTATTTGCACCTATAGCAATCAAATTTAAACTGCTTATATTTCAGTATATATTAAAACTTTTGTCACGACAACTTTTTGAAATAATTACTAGTAAGAATTTTACAAGGTCTAAAAAATCGTACCCTTTTTAGTATTCAAATGTTTCAAAATGTGCATATTAATTGCCAAATACTTTTTTTCTATGAAAGCAATCACAATTCCCTCGTGACAAACGTTGTATTTTCGCATCAAGAACATTTACTGAAAATATGGTTGGCATTGTTTAATAAATAAAAAAGTAGTAGGCGTTATGTGTTAAAAACCTGCAAACTGAGAAAAAGCCAAAAGTAACGAAAACTAGGTCAGGAAAGTACCATATCTGTGTAAACTTCAAAGCCGATTGTAAGCATTGGGTGTTTCCGAGATGTAGGAAATTAAGTTTATTAAATACATGAGAAATCCAACTTTCCAATGATGTCAAATACAATATAATGATGGATATAAAACTTTTTATAGAGAGCTTGTAAGATTGGGAAAAATTGATTATTTTTTAATTAATAGGGTCTTAAAAATCGTAATTCAAACACAAAAAATATTTTTCTCTCTTTAAAGTTATTATTTTCTTAATACAAAAATGGACAAAGTATCCAAAAGTGCAAGAAACCCATCATGACGAAAAAAACAGAAATTCTAGGATTTTTTCCGCGCATATCCCCTTAAATATTTTAGCAAACAAAGCTTTTATGAAAGAAAGCAAATTAGTTTTATTATCTTATTTTCAGTGCATTTAAAAGCTTGCTATTAGAAATTTTTTTATATTTGTTTTATTTTCTACTGTTTAGTAATTCAGAATTTATTAATTTGACACTATCAATGCTGAACTTAAAATGTTTGCTTTATAACACTATGAGTAGTTTGTGAAAGACAATTATCCCCCCCCCCCCCTTTTTTCCCCCAGTGAAAGAAGCTATCTGACTGTAGTTTACAGACAATGACAAACAGATCAAGTAGATTTTGTTACCTCCCCTTAGTTTCAAAAAGTGTAAACATTCTATTATCTGCCTTCACTAGACACTGCTCTAGGATTGTAAACATTGGACATAAACCACAGCTCAGCAGATTCATAGGGTGATCACATCTAGATAGTTATCTCCCCTTCTCTTATGGAATATAGGAATCTATCGAGTGATTGCTAGCTTTTAATTTTGTTATTTCCCCTTAGTTCCGAAACAGTTGAATTAATTTTTAATGACTAATTAAACATCTAATTAAATATAAAAAAAAAGATAGACTTGTATTTTCATTGGAACAAATCTGGAAAGTTTGAAAAAATCTCTGCATTAAAATTCTGTCAAAATTGAGTTACAAGATTTGCAACAAACCCACAAACAGACGTTACAAGCTACATAAAAGCTTGTAAAAAGAGTAATTCCAATGATTACCCTAAGATTTTTTAAGCCTCAAAAATTTTTTTTTGTTGAAACAATACAAAAATGTTTTACTGGGATGAATTTTTTGGAATTAATTATTTGCTAATTAATCAGTTAATAATAACGTCATAGATAATAAGCTTAAGATTATAATAAAATTATCTCTCTGCAATGTTTTTTTTTTTTATCTAGCATTCAGTAGAAACATTTTTATGCTCTGACTGCAAAGGGTTAATAAAGCTAAGACTGAATAATTTACAGGTAAGGTATACAGGGAGGATTGGAGTATTTTACAGGTAAGGTATACAGGGAGGATTAGGTAACTTACAGGTAAGGTATACAGGGAGGTTTGAGTAACTTACAGGTAAGGTATACAGGGAGGATTAGGTAACTTACAGGTAAGGTATACACAGGGAGGATTAGGTAACTTACAGGTAAGGTATACAGGGAGGATTAGGTAACTTACAGGTAAGGTATACAGGGAGGATTAGGTAACTTACAGGTAAGGTATACAGGGAGGATTAGGTAACTTACAGGTAAGGTATACAGGGAGGATTAGGTAACTTACAGGTAAGGTATACAGGGAGTATTAGGTAACTTACAGGTAAGGTATACAGGGAGGATTAGGTAACTTACAGGTAAGGTATACAGGGAGGATTAGGTAACTTACAGGTAAGGTATACAGGGAGGATTAGGTAACTTACAGGTAAGGTATACAGGGAGGTTCTGTTTCAGCCAGTGCCTGTCTGTAGGCTCGAAATGATGAGGAACTATCTATCAACTGACAGAACTCTTGAAGAGCCTGGGGATACAAGGCATCAACATTAGCTGGGTCTAGCATCAGCATTAGCTGGAGCTAGCATCAACATTAGCTGGAGCTAACATCAACATTAGCTGGAGCTAACATCAACATTAGCTGGAGCTAACATCAACATTAGCTGGAGCTAGAGCCAAGAATAGCTGGAGCCAAGAATAGCTGGCTATACTTACCTCAATATTTTGTTTCTGCCACTCTAGTCTAGCAACTGGAGCCGAGTCTAATGCTGATAAAATGGCCAGGTAAGAGTTAAAATTGTGGAGCTTGCGCAGGTGCTGAAATAGAGGCTTGCTACTTTAGGACATGACAATGTGAAATAAAGGCTTGCTACTTTAGGACATTACAAAGTGAAATAGAGGCTTGCTACTTTAGGACATTACAAAGTGAAATAGAGGCTTGCTACTTTAGGACATTGTTACAAAGTGAAATAGAGGCTTGCTACTTTAGGACATTACAAAGTGAAATAGAGGCTTGCTACTTTAGGACATTACAAAGTGAAATAGAGGCTTGCTACTTTAGGACATTACAAAGTGAAATAGAGGCTTGCTACTTTAGGACATTACAAAGTGAAATAGAGGCTTGCTACTTTAGGACATTACAAAGTGAAATAGAGGCTTGCTACTTTAGGACATTACAAAGTGAAATAGAGGCTTGCTACTTTAGGACATTACAAAGTGAAATAGAGGCTTGCTACTTTAGGACATTACAAAGTGAAATAGAGGCTTGCTACTTTAGGACATTACAAAGTGAAATAGAGGCTTGCTACTTTAGGACATTGTTACAAAGTGAAATAGATGCTTGCTACTTTAGGACATTGTTACAAAGTGAAATAGAGGCTTGCTACTTTAGGACATTACAAAGTGAAATAGAGGCTTGCTACTTTAGGACATTGTTACAAAGTGAAATAGACGCTTGCTACTTTAGGACATTGTTACAACATGAAATAGAGGCTTGCTACTTTAGGACATTACAAAGTGAAATAGAGGCTTGCTACTTTAGGACATTGTTACAAAGTGAAATAGAGGCTTGCTACTTTAGGATATTACAAAGTGAAATAGAGGCTTGCGACTTTAGGACATTACAAAGTGAAATAGAAGCTTGCTATTTTAGGACATTGTTACAAAGTGAAATAGAGGCTTGCTACTTTAGGACATTACAAAGTGAAATAGAGGCTTGCTACTTTAGGACATTGTTACAAAGTGAAATAGAGGCTTGCTACTTTAGGACATTGTTACAAAGTGAAATAGAGGCTTGCTACTTTAGGACATTGTTACAAAGTGAAATAGAGGCTTGCTACTTTAGGACATTGTTACAAAGTGAAATAGAGGCTTGCTACTTTAGGACATCATTACAAAGTGAAATAGAGGCTTGCTACTTTAGGACATTGTTACAACATGAAATAGAGGCTTGCTACTTTAGGACATTGTTACAAAGTGAAATAGAGGCTTGCTACTTTAGGACATTGTTACAAAGTGAAATAGAGGCTTGCTACTTTAGGACATTGTTACAAAGTGAAATAGACGCTTGCTACTTTGGGACATTGTTACAAAGTGAAATAGAGGCTTGCTACTTTAGGACATTGTTACAAAGTGAAATAGAGGCTTGCTACTTTAGGACATTGTTACAAAGTGAAATAGAGGCTTGCTACTTTAGGACATTACAAAGTGAAATAGAGGCTTGCTACTTTAGGACATTGTTACAAAGTGAAATAGAGGCTTGCTACTTTAGGACATTGTTACAAAGTGAAATAGAGGCTTGCTACTTTAGGACATTGTTACAAAGTGAAATAGAGGCTTGCTACTTTAGGACATTGTTACAAAGTGAAATAGAGGCTTGCTACTTTAGGACATCATTACAAAGTGAAATAGAGGCTTGCTACTTTAGGACATTGTTACAACATGAAATAGAGGCTTGCTACTTTAGGACATTGTTACAAAGTGAAATAGAGGCTTGCTACTTTAGGACATTGTTACAAAGTGAAATAGAGGCTTGCTACTTTAGGACATTGTTACAAAGTGAAATAGACGCTTGCTACTTTGGGACATTGTTACAAAGTGAAATAGAGGCTTGCTACTTTAGGACATTGTTACAAAGTGAAATAGAGGCTTGCTACTTTAGGACATTGTTACAAAGTGAAATAGAGGCTTGCTACTTTAGGACATTGTTACAACGTGAAATAGACGCTTGCTACTTTAGGGCATCATTACAAAGTGAATTAGAGGCTTGCTACTTTAGGACATTGTTACAAAGTGAAATAGACGCTTGCTACTTTAGGACATTGTTACAAAGTGAAATAGAGGCTTGATACTTTTAGACATCAATACAAAGTGTATTGAGAATCTGATTGTTCAGATGGTTAAGAAAAATTATTTTAAAAATGAAAAAAAGATAATTACCCTCATTATTTTGATAAATTTCATTAAATATTTTTCTCTCTCTTTTGGATCATCCTGGGTGAGAATTCTGGTCCTACACCTGAAACAACAGGGACATGATGACAGAAACAACAGGGACATGACAGAAACAACAGGGACATGACAGAAACAACAGGGACATGATGACAGAAACAACAGGGACATGATGGCAGAAACAACAGGGACATGATGGCAGAAACAACAGGGACATGATGACAGAAACAACAGGGACATGATGACAGAAACAACAGGGACATGATGACAGAAACAACAGGGTCATGATGATAGAAACAACAGGGTCATGATGACAGAAACAACAGGGACATGATGACAGAAACAACAGGGACATGATGGCAGAAACAACAGGGACATGACAGAAACAACAGGGACATGATGGCAGAAACAACAGGGACATGATGACAGAAACAACAGGGACATGATGACAGAAACAACAGGGACATGATGACACAAACAACAGGGACATGACAGAAACAACAGGGACATGATGGCAGAAACAACAGGGACATGATGACAGAAACAACAGGGTCATGATGATAGAAACAACAGGGTCATGATGACAGAAACAACAGGGACATGATGACAGAAACAACAGGGACATGATGACAGAAACAACAGGGACATGATGACAGAAACAACAGGGACATGATGGCAGAAACAACAGGGACATGACAGAAACAACAGGGACATGATGACAGAAACAACAGGGACATGATGACAGAAACAACAGGGACATGATGGCAGAAACAACAGGGACATGACAGAAACAACAGGGACATGATGGCAGAAACAACAGGGACATGATGACAGAAACAACAGGGACATGACAGAAACAACAGGGACATGATGGCAGAAACAACAGGGACATGATGACAGAAACAACAGGGACATGATGACAGAAACAACAGGGTCATGATGATAGAAACAACAGGGTCATGATGACAGAAACAACAGGGACATGATGACAGAAACAACAGGGACATGATGGCAGAAACAACAGGGACATGATGACACAAACAACAGGGACATGATGACAGAAACAACAGGGACATGATGACAGAAACAACAGGGACATGACAGAAACAACAGGGACATGATGACAGAAACAACAGGGACATGATGGCAGAAACAACAGGCACATGATGACAGAAACAACAGGGACATGATGACAGAAACAACAGGGACATGATGACAGAAACAACAGGGACATTATGACAGAAACAACAGGGTCATGATGACAGAAACAACAGGGACATGATGACAGAAACAACAGGGACATGATGACAGAAACAACAGGGACATGATGACAGAAACAACAGGAACATGACAGAAACAACAGGGACATGATGACAGAAACAACAGGGACATGATGACAGAAACAACAGGGACATGATGACAGAAACAACAGGGACATGATGACACAAACAACAGGCACATGATGACACAAACAACAGGCACATGATGACAGAAACAACAGGGATATGATGACAGAAAAAACAGGGACATGACAGAAACAACAGGGACATGACAGAAACAACAGGGACATGATGACAGAAACAACAGGGACATGATGACAGAAACAACAGGGACATGATGACAGAAACAACAGGGACATGATGACAGAAACAACAGGGACATGACAGAAACAACAGGGACATGATGACAGAAACAACAGGGACATTATGACAGAAACAACAGGGACATGACAAAAACAACAGGGACTTGATGGCACTGCCTGTAGGACCATGAAGGACTGACTTACCAGTAGGACATTTTATTGAAGTGCTCAGTGAAGGTGGTCAAGTGTGGACTTAACTCTTCAGACTGTGCCCTGGCCCACATCAAGACTTCAGGGATCTGGTGGTTAAAAAAGCTGTGCTCAGATCTGACTTAAGTCACATCATGTTAGGCCTGACTTAAGTCACATCATATTAGGTCTGACTTAAGTCACATCATGTTAGGTTTGACTTAAGTCACATCATATTAGGTCTGACTTAAGTCACATCATATTAGGTCTGACTTAAGTCACATCATGTTAGGTTTGACTTAAGTCACATCATGTTAGGTCTGACTTAAGTCACATCATGTTAGGTCTGACTTAAGTCACATCATGTTAGGTCTGACTTAAGTCACATCATGTTAGGCCTGACTTAAGTCACATTAACCAAAAAAAAAATAGCAGTAGTGTACACTGACCTCAATCTTCTGGAACAGTTGAGCATCTAAGAGGGTCATTTGCTCAGCAATGTCTTGGGCCTTGAAGCTCAAAAGATCAGGGGAACTATGAAATAAGATCAAAAGATCAGGAGAACTATGAAATAAGATCAAAAGATCAGGGGAGCTATGAAATAAGATCAAAAGATCAGGAGAACTATGAAATAAGATCAAAAGATCAGGGGAACTATGAAATAAGATCAAAAGATCAGGAGAACTATGAAATAAGATCAAAAGATCAGGGGAGCTATGAAATAAGATCAAAAGATCAGGGGAGCTGTGAAATAAGATCAAAAGATCAGGAGAACTATGAAATAAGATCAAAAGATCAGGAGAACTATGAAATAAGATCAAAAGATCAGGGGAGCTATGAAATAAGATCAAAAGATCAGGGGAGCTATGAAATAAGATCAAAAGATCAGGGGAGCTATAAAATAAGATCAAAAGATCAGGGGAGCTATGAAATAAGATCAAAAGATCAGGGGAGCTATGAAATAAGATCAAAAGATCAGGGGAGCTATGAAATAAGATCAAAAGATCAGGGGAGCTATGAAATAAGATCAAAAGATCAGGGGAAATATGAAATAAGATCAAAAGATCAGGGGAGCTATGAAATAAGATCAAAAGATCAGGGGAGCTATGAAATAAGATCAAAAGATCAGGGGAGCTATGAAATAAGATCAAAAGATCAGGAGAACTATGAAATAAGATCAAAAGATCAGGGGAGCTATGAAATAAGATCAAAAGATCAGGGGAGCTATGAAATAAGATCAAAAGATCAGGGGAGCTATGAAATAAGATCAAAAGATCAGGGGAGCTATGAAATAAGATCAAAAGATCAGGGGAGCTATGAAATAAGATCAAAAGATCAGGGGAGCTATGAAATAAGATCAAAAGATCAGGGGAACTATGAAATAAGATCAAAAGATCAGGGGAACTATGAAATAAGATCAAAAGATCAGGAGAACTATGAAATAAGATCAAAATATCAGGGGAGCTATGAAAAAGATCAAAAGATCAGGGGAGCTATGAAATAAGATCAAAAGATCAGGGGAGCTATGAAATAAGAACAAAAGATCAGGGGAGCTATGAAATAAGATCAAAAGATCAGGGGAGCTATGAAATAAGATCAAAAGATCAGGGGAACTATGAAATAAGATCAAAAGATCAGGAGAACTATGAAATAAGATCAAAAGATCAGGGGAACTATGAAATAAGATCAAAAGATCAGGGGAGCTATGAAATAAGTTCAAAAGATCAGGAGAACTATGAAATAAGATCAAAAGATCAGGGGAGCTATGAAATAAGATCAAAAGATCAGGGGAGCTATGAAATAAGATCAAAAGATCAGGGGAGCTATGAAATAAGATCAAAAGATCAGGGGAACTATGAAATAAGATCAAAAGATCAGGAGAACTATGAAATAAGATCAAAAGATCAGTGGAGCTATGAAATAAGATCAAAAGATCAGGAGAACTATGAAATAAGATCAAAAGATTAGTGGAGCTATGAAATAAGATCAAAAGATCAGTACAGGTATAAAATACAATCAAAAGATCAGTACAGGTATAAAATACGATCAAAAGATCAGTACAGGTATGAAATAAAATGCACATCATCAATGTATTACACATGGCTACATGTTAAAACATAAATTGCAATATAAATGATTGATTTGCTAGTTGCACAAAACTCTATGAATGGATGAGCGCAGATCTAGAAATGGGCTAACGACCATAGAAGAGAGACTGACCTTGAGCCCAGCTCTATTGACTGTACAGGTGCTGCCTGCTGCTGGTCCAACAGATCTGCTTGTTTCTTCTCACACTTCTCCAGCAATTTTCTCCTCAATAATCTGGCCAAGTTCAGGGCACCTTCACAGATAAGGTCATAGACTAGGTTCATCAGACGCTCAACTATCAAAGTGTCCAGCTCATTACCTCTGGGGACAGACAAATTCATCAGGTATTACAACTAGTGGCCAGGTGTAGATAGACAAGTGGCCAGGTGTAGATAGACAAGTGGCCAGGTGTAGATAGACAAGTGGCCAGGTGTACAGACAGGTGGCCAGGTGTACAGACAGACAAGTAGCCAGGTGTACAGACAAGTGGCCAGGTGTACAGACAAGTGGCCAGGTGTAGACAGACAAGTGGCCAGGTGTACAGACAGACAAGTAGCTAGGTGTACAGACAAGTGAACAGGTGTACAGTCAGACAAGTAGCCAGGTGTACAGACAGACAAGTGGCCAGGTGTAGATAGACAAGTGGCCAGGTGTAGATAGACAAGTGGCCAGGTGTACAGTCAGACAAGTAGTCAGGTGTACAGTCAGACAAGTGGCCAGGTGTAGATAGACAAGTGGCCAGGTGTAGATAGACAAATGGCCAGATGTACAGACAGACTAGTGGCCAGGTGTAGACAGACAAGTGGCCAGGTGTACAGACAAGTGGCCAGGTGTACAGACAGACAAGTAGCCAGGTGTACAGACAAGTGGCCAGGTGTACAGACAGACAAGTAGCTAGGTGTACAGACAAATTACAGGTGTACAGTCAGACAAGTAGCCAGGTGTACAGACAGACAAGTGGCCAGGTGTACAGACAGACAAGTAGCCAGGTGTACAGACAAGTGGCCAGGTGTACAGACAGACAAGTAGCTAGGTGTACAGACAAGTGAACAGGTGTACAGTCAGACAAGTAGCCAGGTGTACAGACAGACAAGTGGCCAGGTGTACAGACAGACAAGTAGCCAGGTGTACAGACAAGTGGCCAGGTGTACAGACAGACAAGTGGCCAGGTGTAGACAGACAAGTGGCCAGGTGTACAGACAAGTGAACAGGTGTACAGACAAGTGAACAGGTGTACAGACAAGTGAACAGGTGTACAGACACGTGAACAGGTGTACAGTCAGACAAGTGGCCAGGTGTACAGACAAGTGAACAGGTGTACAGTCAGACAAGTGGCCAGGTGTGCAGACAGACAAATGGCCAGGTGTACAGACAACAGACAGACAAGTGGCCAGGTGTACAGACAGACAACAGACAGACAAGTGGCCAGGTGTACAGACAGACAACAGAAAGACAAGTGGCCAGGTGTACAGACAAGTGAACAGGTGTACAGACAAGTGAACAGGTGTACAGACAAGTGAACAGGTGTACAGACAAGTGAACAGGTGTACAGACAAGTGAACAGGTGTACAGACAAGTGAACAGGTGTACAGACAAGTGGCCAGGTGTACAGACAAGTAGCTAGGTGTACAGACAGACATGTGGCCAGATATACAGAAATGTAGCCAGGTGTAAAGACAGACAAGTGGCCAGGTGTACAGACAGACAAGAGCAACTTCTTATGCTGCTCTAGGCCAGCCAATTGAGCATCTTTCTATGCTCCTCTAGGCCAGCCAATTGAGCATCTTTCTATGCTCCTCTATGGTATCTGATTGAGCATCTTTATATGCTCCTCTATGGTATCTGATTGAGCATCTTTCTATGCTCCTCTATGGTATCTGATTGAGCATCTTTCTATGCTCCTCTATGGTATCTGATTGAGCATCTTTCTATGCTCCTCTATGGTATCTGATTGAGCATCTTCTTATGATGCTCTCTGTCTAACAGCTGATTACAATCCAATAGAATCAAATGTTGAAAAAGTTCTGCTATATACTAAATCTCTACACTAATGAGGTAAAAAAATCTCCAAAACTGCCTGCTACTTTATCACCTTCAAGTTTACTTTCAATGACTCGTTTAATATTTAATTTCATGGAAGCTATGCATTGCCATAGAATGTAAACATGTGCACACAAAAAAATGGTTTAGTTACAATGGGTCAAAATTGAGTCACTAAATTTGACTAGCAAAATAAAGTATTAAAAACGAGTACAAATTACCCCAGTTCATCAACTACTCTAATGAGCAGGGAGAAGGCATTGTGTGCCAATTTCTTCTTGTGGTCTGAAGCATGGTGGAACTTGTGGAAGCGATACAGCAGCTTCTCCATCAAAGCTTTAGGTGAGATGAACATTCTGTATGTGGTCAGGAATGCTTCTTGGTACATGAATTCTACAAGAAAAGTTCACACATTTCAACACCAATGTTTGCACCAATGGACTGCATCAAAGGGGCTCACTCATTTAAGTAGGCTACACTGGGCACAGCTACAAAACCTTCACATTTTTCATCAACACTTCACTGCTTACTTATCAACACAATGATGACTTTACTAAGGGCTAGGATGTGTTAGGTACAAGTATCTTTATCCTACCCAGCATATACCTGGGTGTGATATTAATTTCGCTCTATGCAATTGTGGTGGTGGTGGTGGTTGTGGTGGGGGGGGGGGTGAGAGAGGGAAATAACCAACTAAGAGGGATCATAGCGTCAGTATTTAGATGACTGTTCTCAACATACACTTACATTTATACATATATACTGATTCAGAAATAGATTTAAATAAGTAACAGTAGTATTATGACTGAAATTTTTTTTTTACAGAGTGGTCCATGGGGGGGGGGGGGGGGGGGTTTGTAACCTCCCTACCCTCCCAATGCGTCACTGGGCTAGGATGAAGGTATGTGTTGTGTACTAGTATCTAGGGAAGATTTGACTCTCCACCTGAGTATCAAGAATAGAATTTGTGAAGAAAGAAAAGAGTGCAGAAAAAGGTCAGCAACAAATGATGTCAAGTTCACACAGGAAAAAAAAAGCTCAGGAAAAGGAAATGAGGAGAAATATTAGGAAAAACACAAACAGAAATATAATGCAATATAAATAAGTGCTAATACTGTAATGACAATAATGAGAAATAAAATCTAATCAGTGCTAGCTGCTCAGGAAACATTTCAAACTGAACCTGGACAAAACTAGAGATCAGTGCAACTACAATGTCTTCTATACAACATTAAGGGGAAAAAGGTCAGCTTAAAAAAAAGGTCTTGAATAAAAAAAAAGGTCTTGAAAGGTAGGCTTAAAAATGGCTTGAGTTAAAATAGGTCAGCCTAAAAATGGCCTTCAGTGAAAATAGGTCAGCCTAAAAAAATGACCTTTAGGTCCAGGTTACATTTTCAAACAGGCACCAGTATGTTGTTGTTAACAAAACACACACAGATATCATTCAAACAGGCACAAGTATGTTGTTGTTAACAAAACACACAGAGATCATCATTCAAACAGGCACCAGTATGTTGTTGTTAACAAAACACACACAGATATCATCATTCAAGCATTACTGTCAGAGAAAATTGTCTTCTATATTAAATATTTCAGTTCAACAAGGAAAGCTGAGACGACTATCAAACACGACATCAAACATGACATCAAACATGACATTAAAGCATGACATTGAGCTTGTGTTATTTCATACAGCTCATGCTTGTGTTAGGCCTATGAAATGTTTCTTGTTAGAAAGGGCACAAAATGTCACTTGTCAATCAGGTCATGATGTCACTTGTCAGATGGCCATAAATGAGACTTGTCAGGTCACTTCACATTCCTGACAGAACATGTCACTTCACATTCCTGTCAGAACATGTCACTTCACATTCCTGTCAGAACATGGCACTTCACATTCCTGTCAGAACATGTCACTTCACATTCCTGTCAGAACATGTCACTTCACATTCCTGTCAGAACATGTCACTTCACATTCCTGTCAGAACATGTCACTTCACATTCCTGTCAGAAGTTGTAACTGTTTCTAATAGAAAAGGATCCTTGCTAATTCCCCATAAAATCCAAGCTTGATTCAGCACTTGATACAGCTCAAGGTGATGATTGAGATGGCTCAATGTGATGATTGAGATGGCTCAAGGTGATGATTGAGATGGCTCAAGGTGATGATTGATTCATTGTTTCATGGATGGCTCAATGTGATGATTGAGATGGCTCAAGGTGATGATTGAGATGGCTCAATGTGATGATTGAGATGGCTCAATGTGATGATTGATTCATTGTTTCATGGATGGCTCAATGTGATGATTGAGATGGCTCAAGGTGATGATTGATTCATTGTTTCATGGATGGCTCAATGTGATGATTGAGATGGCTCAATGTGATGATTGAGATGGCTCAATGTGATGATTGAGATGGCTCAATGTGATGATTGAGATGGCTCAATGTGATGATTGAGATAGCCCAAGGTGATCATTGATTCATTGTTTCATGGATGGCTCAATGTGATGATTGAGATGGCTCAAGGTGATGATTGAGATGGCTCAATGTGATGATTGAGATGGCTCAATGTGATGATTGATTCATTGTTTCATGGATGGCTCAATGTGATGATTGAGATGGCTCAAGGTGATGATTGATTCATTGTTTCATGGATGGCTCAATGTGATGATTGAGATGGCTCAATGTGATGATTGAGATGGCTCAATGTGATGATTGAGATAGCCCAAGGTGATCATTGATTCATTGTTTCATGGATGGCTCAATGTGATGATTGAGATGGCCCAAGGTGATCATTGATTCATTGTTTCATGGATGGCTCAATGTGATGATTGAGATGGCCCAAGGTGATCATTGATTTATTGTTTCATGGATGGCTCAAGGTGATGATTGAGATGGCTCAATGTGATGATTGACATGGCTCAATGTGATGATTGAGATGGCTCAATGTGATGATTGACATGGCTCAATGTGATGATTGAGATGGCTCAATGTGATGATTGAGATGGCTCAATGTGATGATTGAGATGGCTCAAGGTGATGATTGAGATGGCCCAAGGTGATCATTGATTTATTGTTTTATGGATGGGTCAAGGTGATAATTTTGATGGCTCAATGTGATCATTGATTCATTGTTTCATGGATGGCTCAATGTGATGATTGAGATGGCTCAAGGTGATGATTGAGATGGCTCAAGGTGATGATTGAGATGGCTCAAGGTGATGATTGAGATGGCTCAAGGTGATCATTGATTCATTGTTTCATGGATGGCTCAATGTGATGATTGAGATGGCTCAATGTGATCATTGATTCATTGTTTCATGGACTCATTATGGCTCACATTTGGTACCAGGTATGTGTATAGGAACACAGGTATTGTTGTGTGTTGTTAAAAAAGGTAAAAGATTAAGAGACAAACATCGATCAAAACTGTCAGTGAATGATTGTAAAAAAAAACCTAGAGATAAACAATCAAATGAAAGCAGGAAACAAAAAAATGGGTGCGTACAACATGAGGATTGTGGGAGGATGGGTTACCTTTTTGTTCTGTTATGTCCCCTTCTGATCCTTTAGCAGGTATCAAAAACAACACATTGTTAATAGAGGTAGATCAAGACACTTTTTAAACTATTATCTAACTTTCTACTTTAAAACATCAATCTTGCTTCTACTTCAACTCTTTAGAGAGGAGCAATGCATTCAGTTTGAAATACTTCCTTTATTTCCACTGTTTATATGCCAACATTAAGGTCATGATAAAGCTAGAGCAGCCATTTTAACTTGTTTTAACTGGTCCCATACAATTCAGATTGTATTTTTTGGACATTTTTTTTATTTTTTCAAAAAAATGGCACTTATTCAAAATTACTAAAATTAGTCTTTTTATGCAAATGGTACTAAAAAAACTTGAAATCTTTCTTCTTTGAAGAATATTTCCAGGATCAAAGTATTAAAATATTGTTTGGACCTAGTTTGTTTTGTTTCTAATTCAAAATATAAACTTAAAGTCTGTGTAAAGAAAAGCAGTTAAGATTTATAAATAATAGCTGAAAAAATGATACCAAATAGCATACCATTACACTTGAACCCTTTCCACCTCTATGGCCATTCCACTGATTTGGTAACCACAGTAACAAAACTACTTTTCCATCTTATAGACCAAATTATTTCATTTCCTCAATGGGCCCAAAGAGATGATTGTGGAGGGGCGAGAAAGAGAATGACTTTTGAACCAGCTGTTAGTGGATGCCTCAAGTCAAACACAATACTACTACATACTTGCATGTGCTCAATGTCTGACCAGGACTGGGCTGACCCAGCAACTATCACATGACATCATGCAACTCTTGGTGGTTTGGGGGACAGTTAAGGTCTGATGGGTCTAATGTTTTCTGGGTGGTGATTAAGGTCTGATGGGTCTAATGTTTTCTGTGTGATGATAGTTAAGGTCTGATTGGTCTAATGTTTTCTGTGTGATGATAGTTAAGGTCTGATGGGTCTAATGTTTTCTGAGTGAGGACAGTTAAGGTCTGATGGGTCTAATGTTTTCTGTGTGATGATAGTTAAGGTCTGATTGGTCTAATGTTTTCTGTGTGATGATAGTTAAGGTCTGATGGGTCTAATGTTTTCTGAGTGAGGACAGTTAAGGTCTGATGGGTCTAATGTTTTCTGTGTGATGATAGTTAAGGTCTGATTGGTCTAATGTTTTCTGAGTGAGGACAGTTAAGGTCTGATGGGTCTAATGTTTTCTGTGTGATGATAGTTAAGGTCTGATTGGTCTAATGTTTTCTGTGTGAGGACAGTTAAGGTCTGATTGGTCTAATGTTTTCTGTGTGATGATAATTAAGGTCTGATTGGTCTAATGTTTTCTGTGTGATGATAATTAAGGTCTGATTGGTCTAATGTTTTCTGTGTGATGATAGTTAAGGTCTGATTGGTCTAATGTTTTCTGTGTGATGATAGTTAAGGTCTGATTGGTCTAATGTTTTCTGTGTGATGATAATTAAGGTCTGATGGGTCTAATGTTTTCTGTGTGAGGACAGTTAAGGTCTGATTGGTCTAATGTTTTCTGTGTGATGATAATTAAGGTCTGATTCTAATTGGTCTAATGTTTTCTGAGTGATGATAATTAAGGTCTGATTGGTCTAATGTTTTCTGAGTGATGATAATTAAGGTCTGATTCTAATGGGTCTAATGTTTTCTGAGTGATGATAATTAAGGTCTGATTCTAATGGGTCTAATGTTTTCTGAGTGATGATAATTAAGGTCTGATTCTAATTGGTCTAATATTTTCTGAGTGATGATAATTAAGGTCTGATTCTACTCGGTCTAATTTTTACTGAGTGATGATAATTAAGGTCTGATTCTACTCGGTCTAATATTTTCTGAGTGATGATAATTAAGGTCTGATTCTACTCGGTCTAATTTTTACTGAGTGATGATAATTAAGGTCTGATTCTACTGGGTCTAATGTTTATTTAAAAATCTCTAACATAGTTATGCTTCAGAAAGTTGGCCTCCTTTAGAGTTTATTCCCCCGTCTAAGTTAAAAGCACTTACCAATTTTGCCAGCCTGTGTTGCATGAACTATGAGAGCATCTATTGCCCCACCCCTCACCTCCGGACCATCCTCATTCTGTGACAAAACACAAACAGCATTCTTCAATATCTAGATATTAGTAGGGAGTGTAGCTGCAAGGTATTAACTTGTTCCAAATATTGAAAGAAAAATCAAGCATTGTCTTAAGTAAACTAAAGTTAACAGCATTCCATAGCTTGGCTGTTATACCAGCCTTCAATAGGGAGTCGCCTAAGATTTTAAACTTCTTATTGTCCAAGATGACAATTAAAAACTTCATTTATTTACCTTTAATTTGCTATCAATTCTATTTTTCAAATTTAAGCAGTAGCCTAGAAAATGATTTGTTTGTTTTTAAATGGCTACGATGATATGACTGATTTTCAGTGATACGGTGGGTTAGTTTTTTTAAGGAGTGTTGCTGTGATGCCATTGACTGTTCACTGCTGTTAGCTAGATTTATCCCCATTCAAATACACGGCGGGCAAAATGGGCAGGCTTAGTTTGCTTTTGTGTCGATCAAATTATGTTTAATAGGTTTTGTTTTTACTCTGCATGATTTTTTAAAAATTAATGACATTATTTTAGTAGAAATCAATTTATAATTTTCTATAGTTTAAAATATATTTTTAGTAAATTTAGAACAATATCAAGTACAGCAATTCACGTTTTGCTTACTTTTATTATGTTCTACTCAATATTCTCAGCGATTAGACAAAAATAAAAGTACAAATGGCAAGTTTGCATCAGACACTAATCGTCCATTGTTAAAACATGACCGGTATCATTGAATTATACTTAAAAAATGCAAAAATAATTATTTTAAGTATATATTTATGAAATGACCATTAAACATTGTTAAAAAAACGGAATCACAGTATCGTCGTTTTCAGCAGCCATGATTACCATGACGATGGTAAAAAAAAAGTAGGTCAAGTGTCAGGCTACCCTTTAACCACCCCCAGTTGCAAGACTTTCCATCCTATAAGTGTTATAACTGAGAACACAAAATGAGGGATTTGAATTTTCACAGTAGTAGCAGACTGGTTGTTTCACAACTAGTGGAATTTTCAAACCTACTTTGGCTTTTTATTGTAAAAAAATGGACAGATGTGTATCTTGTCCTATCAGATACAACTAAGATAAGATATGTATGATGTCAGTAAAAAAAGTAAACCTTTTCTTTAAGAATCAACTGGTCCTCTATTTCCACATCATCCAGAAGGTTGAGCTCACTGAAGTCTGAGTCTGAATCTTTCTGGATCTCAGGCTGGGCAAGGGGAGCTTCACACTTGTGACCAGGGGCCATCACAGGCTGAGGTAATGACATCCTAGGGGAGTGGGGCGTCAGGCTGGAGCTGTGGGGGACACAAGCACAGCTGGTCACACATCTTACAGCTGGTCACACATCTTACAGCTGGTCACACATCTTACAGCTGGTCACACATCTTACAGCTGGTCACACATCTTACAGCTGGTCACACATCTTACAGCTGGTCACACATCTTACAGCTGGTCACACATCTTACAGCTGGTCACACATCTTACAGCAAGTCACACATCTTACAGCTGGTCACACATCTTACAGCTGGTCACACATCTAACAGCTGGTCACACATCTTACAGCTGGTCACACATCTTAAAGCTGGTCACACATCTTACAGCTGGTCACACAATCACATCTTACAGCTGGTCACACAATCACATCTTACAGCTGGTCACACATCTTACAGCTGGTCACACATCTTACAGCTGGTCACACATCTTACAGCTGGTCACACATCTTTCAGCTGGTCACACATCTTACAGCTGGTCACACAATCACATCTTACAGCTGGTCACACATCTTACAGCTGGTCACACATCTTACAGCTGGTCACACATCTTACAGCTGGTCACACATCTTACAGCTGGTCACACATCTTACAGCTGGTCACACAATCACATCTTACAGCTGGTCACACATCTTACAGCTGGTCACACAATCACATCTTACAGCTGGTCACACAATCACATCTTACAGCTGGTCACACATCTTACAGCTGGTCACACAATCACATCTTACAGCTGGTCACACAATCACATCTTACAGCTGGTCACACATCTTACAGCTGGTCACACAATCACATCTTACAGCTGGTCACACATCTTACAGCTGGTCACACAATCACATCTTACAGCTGGTCACACATCTTACAGCTGGTCACACATCTTACAGCTGGTCAAACAATCACATCTTACAGCTGGTCACACAATCACATCTTACAGCTGGTCACACATCTTACAGCTGGTCACACATCTTACAGCTGGTCACACATCTTTCAGCTGGTCACACATCTTACAGCTGGTCACACAATCACATCTTACAGCTAGTCACACATCTTACAGCTGGTCACACATCTTACAGCTGGTCACACAATCACATCTTACAGCTTTTCACACATCTTACAGCTGGTCACACATCTTACAGCTGGTCACACATCTTACAGCTGGTCACACATCTTACAGCTGGTCACACATCTTACAGCTGGTCACACATCTTACAGCTGGTCACACAATCACATCTTACAGCTGGTCACACATCTTACAGCTGGTCACACATCTTACAGCTGGTCACACAATCACATCTTACAGCTGGTCACACAATCACATCTTACAGCTGGTCACACATCTTACAGCTGGTCACACAATCACATCTTACAGCTGGTCACACATCTTACAGCTGGTCACACAATCACATCTTACAGCTGGTCACACATCTTACAGCTGGTCACACATCTTACAGCTGGTCAAACAATCACATCTTACAGCTGGTCACACAATCACATCTTACAGCTGGTCACACATCTTACAGCTGGTCACACATCTTACAGCTGGTCACACAATCACATCTTACAGCTGGTCACACAATCACATCTTACAACTGACTATTTGAGAGAAAAAACTGTATCAAGGTGAAAGAATGGCTGACCAATCAGAAGATTTGCCAAGTCCTAGTAAGTCACCATAGGAGACATCCGATTGGCTAGAACCTGTGGACTGCTGGCTGACATGGCTGATGTCTGACATCTGGAGAGACAGGGGGAGTGGTCAGTCAACACATCAATGGGGGGAGTGGTCAGACAACACACATCAATGGGGGGAGTGGTCAGACAACACTACACACATCAATGTGGGGAGTGGTCAGACAACACTACACACATCAATGGGGGGAGTGGTCAGACAACACTACACACATCAATGGGGGGAGTGGTCAGACAACACTACACACATCAATGGGGGGAGTGGTCAGACAACACTACACACATCAATGGGGGGAGTGGTCAGACAACACACATCAATGGGGGGAGTGGTCAGACAACACTACACACATCAATGTGGGGAGTGGTCAGACAACACTACACACATCAATGGAGGGAGTGGTCAGACAACACAACACACATCAATGGGGGGAGTGGTCAGACAACACTACACACATCAATGGGGGGAGTGGTCAGACAACACACATCAATGGGGGGAGTGGTCAGACAACACCTCTGGTACACACATCAAGCATTGAGGGAATATTTTCAAAAACACATTTTTATTATTCTGTAATTGAATTTTAAAATGCTATTTGAACAATTTGTGTAAAAAAGCTTAAGCAAGAAATGAAAGCTGTATAAAGTGACCAACCCTTTTGAGAGAGTTCTGTGGGATGTTTGATAAGAGCTCAGAGGAGCCTCCACTCATGGAGGAGTCAGTGGAAATGTCAGAGAGCACGGAGATGGTGTTGGAGCGTGGGTAAAACAACTCGCGCTGGTGCTGGTGCCACTGGGCCTCGTAGAACTGAATTGAGTGTCTGGATATGGTCTCCTCCAGAGTTCTGGGCTGGCTCAGGGAGCCAAACATCTGAACATAGGCTTGGACTGGGAAAAAATCATCTCAAATGGTTCAGGGTATTACATGTTAGATTTAGCCCTGATAGTGAGGTATTACATGTAAGATTTAGCCCTGATAGTGAGGTATTACATGTAAGAGTTAGCCCTGATAGTGAGGTATTACATGTAAGATTTAGCCCTGATAGTGAGGTATTACATGTAAGATTTAGCCCTGATAGTGAGGTATTACATGTAAGATTTAGCCCTGATAGTGAGGTATTACATGTAAGAGTTAGCCCTGATAGTGAGGTATTACATGTAAGAGTTAGCCCTGATAGTGAGGTATTACATGTAAGAGTTAGCCCTGATAGTGAGGTATTACATGTAAGAGTTAGCCCTGATAGTGAGGTATTACATGTAAGATTTAGCCCTGATAGTGAGGTATTACATGTAAGATTTAGCCCTGATAGTGAGGTATTACATGTAAGAGTTAGCCCTGATAGTGAGGTATTACATGTAAGAGTTAGCCCTGATAGTGAGGTATTACATGTAAGAGTTAGCCCTGATAGTGAGGTATTACACATAAGTTAGCCCAGATAGAGAGGTATTACACTAAGAGTTAGCTCAGATAGTGAGGTATTACACTAAGAGTTAGCTCAGATAGTGAGGTAAGTATCTTACCATGTTTTTTCTTGGGGGGTAGGGGTGGTGGTTTGGGTAAAGACTCAGTGCTGGAGTGGCTGGTGGATGAAAAGGTCTCAGAGCTGGAGTAAGTCTCACTGGCTTCTGTCAGGAAGGACTGGATGGACTTGTGACTGTTGACACTGGTGAATGATTGGCTGAGGAAGGCAGAGTAAAACATGTAGGTTGACTGACAAGACCTGCTTACTTTAGGCTGACAGGCTAAAGTTGGTTACTTTAGGCTGACAGGCTAAAGTTGGTTACTTTAAACTGACAGGCTAAAGTTGGTTACTTTATGCTGACAGGCTAAAGTTGGTTACTTTAGGTTGACAGGCTAAATTTGGTTACTTAAACTGACAGGCTAAAGTTGGTTAGATGTAGAGCTGGTTAAAAAGTGCACCTTTGATTGGACTGTGTGGACTGTGAACTGCATGTGGAGGATGAAGATATCCTTTCAACTTTCCTCATCATCACCGTCCTGTTTTGTGTGGCCAGCCCTGCTAGTCTGTTCTCTAACAGCTCGGGAACATTGTCATACTGCGAGTTGAGGCGATTCAAACCTTTCTTGGCTGGTAGAGGTGGGGGGATTTCCTCAATACAGTTGGTCAGCTGGTTGATCTGTGTGGTCAGTTCATTGATCTCAGCGCACGCTTGAGCTGGCAGCTTGCGGGAAGTCAGAGTGCTGGCCAGAAGTTTTGAGTCGCTGACAGTACGAGAGAAGGTTTGTGTGGTGCTGGTGTCCTGGTGCCACTCAGATGAGATGGAGGCTGAATGCTGGCTGATGAGTGGGAAAGATGAGGAGGTGGGAGAGGCTGGGAGTCCAGCTTGAGGTATACTAAAGGGTTTGTTGACGGCCACAAAGCCCCCTCCCAGCATGCCCAGCGAGTGGTCCAGGGATGCACTGGTCATCAGAGTGCTGTTGTGTGAGCCCCTGCTCCCAGAGAGAGACTCTAAGATTTCTGTGCTGGAACTTGGGGATCTCTTCTTCACAGGAAGTGGGGGTGGGGCCAATGGATCTGCTCCATTCATAAAGCCCTCTATATGTGGTACTCTGTCATACAAAACAAAAGGTCAATGACAAATAAAAACAAGATTATTTGCTGATTAAAAGTTGGAAGAAAACCAACCTGCTAAGTACTGAGGGCAGGGGAGGTTTGGGTGGTGGCATGTCACTAGCATCCAGTGAATCAAAGGAAAACACAGAGCTGGTGTTGCTGTTGCGTGAGAGCTGAGAGATGTTGTCATAGCTGGTGGTGCTTGTCTGGGCCAGGATCTCACGCTCCCTGGGGGTCAGGGGGATATCAGGTAGGTAGCCATCCTTACACCTGGAGATGTGGAACAAACTTCTGACACACAGGTAACAGACTTAATGAACAAACTGCTTACACAGGTAACAACATTAATGAACAAACTACTAACACAGGTAACAACATTAATGAACAAACTACTCACACAGGTAACAACCTTAATGAAGAAACTGCTCACACAGGTAACAACCTTAATAAACAAACCACTCACACAGGTAACAACCTTAATGAACAAACTGCTCACACAGGTAACAACCTTAATGAAGAAACTGCTCACACAGATAACAACCTTAATGAACAAACTGCTCACACAGGTAACAACATTAATGAACAAACTGCTCACACAGGTAACAACCTTAATGAACAAACTGCTCACACAGGTAACAACCTTAATAAACAAACCACTCACACAGGTAACAACCTTAATGAACAAACCACTCACACAGGTAACAACATTAATGAAGAAACTGCTCACACAGGTAACAACTTTAATGAACAAACTGCTCACACAGGTAACAACATTAATGAACAAACTGCTCACACAGGTAACAACCTTAATGAACAAACTGCTCACACAGGTAACAAACTTAATGAACAAACTACTCACACAGGTAACAACCTTAATGAACTAACTGCTCACACAGGACACAACTGCTCAAATGGGCACAAACAGGTGATTAATCATCAAACCTTACAATCAGCGTAGTGACGCTAACACTTACCCATCACCAGTTGGGGAAGGGAGGGGTTGACCTGTAATTGGTGGCTGTAAATAGGTCACCTTCTTCTGTGACATCTTCTCCATCCCAAGTTTGGTTAGCTCCTACAGTCACACATAAACTTTGATTAGCTCCTACAGTCACACATAAACTTTAGTTAGCTCCTACAGTCACACACACATAAACTTTGGTTAGCTCCTACAGTCACACATACATAAACTTTAGTTAGCTCCTACAGTCACACACACATAAACTTTGATTAGCTCCTACAGTCACACATAAACTTTAGTTAGCTCCTACAGTCACACATAAACTTTAGTTAGCTCCTACAGTCACACATAAACTTTGGTTAGCTCCTACAGTCACACATAAACTTTGGTTAGCTCCTACAGTCACACATACATAAACTTTGGTTAGCTCCTACAGTCACACATACATAAACTTTGGTTAGCTCCTACAGTCACACATAAACTTTGGTTAGCTCCTACAGTCACACATACATAAACTTTGGTTAGCTCCTACAGTCACACATACATAAACTTTGGTTAGCTCCTACAGTCACACATAAACTTTGGTTAGCTCCTACAGTCACACATAAACTTTGATTAGCTCCTACAGTCACACATAAACTTTGGTTAGCTCCTACAGTCACACATACATAAACTTTGGTTAGCTCCTACAGTCACACATAAACTTTGGTTAGCTCCTACAGTCACACATAAACTTTGATTAGCTCCTACAGTCACACATAAACTTTGGTTAGCTCCTACAGTCACACATACATAAACTTTGGTTAGCTCCTACAGTCACACATAAACTTTGGTTAGCTCCTACAGTCACACATAAACTTTGGTTAGCTCCTACAGTCACACATACATAAACTTTGGTTAGCTCCTACAGTCACACATAAACTTTGGTTAGCTCCTACAGTCACACATAAACTTTGGTTAGCTCCTACAGTCACACATACATAAACTTTAGTTAGCTCCTACAGTCACACATAAACTTTGGTTAGCTCATACAGTCACACATAAACTTTGGTTAGCTCCTACAGTCACACATAAACTTTAGTTAGCTCCTACAGTCACACATACATAAACTTTGGTTAGCTCCTACAGTCACACATAAACTTTGGTTAGCTCCTACAGTCACACATAAACTTTGGTTAGCTCCTACAGTCACACATACATAAACTTTGGTTAGCTCCTACAGTCACACATACATAAACTTTGGTTAGCTCTTACAGTCACACATAAACTTTGGTTAGCTCATACAGTCACACATAAACTTTGGTTAGCTCCTACAGTCACACATAAACTTTGGTTAGCTCCTACAGTCACACATAAACTTTAGTTAGCTCCTACAGTCACACATAAACTTTGGTTAGCTCCTACAGTCACACATAAACTTTGGTTAGCTCCTACAGTCACACATAAACTTTGGTTAGCTCCTACAGTCACACATAAACTTTGGTTAGCTCCTACAGTCACACCAAAACTTTAGTTAGCTCCTACAGTCACACATAAACTTTAGTTAGCTCCTACAGTCACACATAAACTTTAGTTAGCTCCTACAGTCACACATAAACTTTGGTTAGCTCCTACAGTCACACATAAACTTTAGTTAGCTCCTACAGTCACACATAAACTTTGGTTAGCTCCTACAGTCACACATAAACTTTGGTTAGCTCCTACAGTCACACATACATAAACTTTGATTAGCTCCTACAGTCACACATAAACTTTGGTTAGCTCCTACAGTCACACATAAACTTTGGTTAGCTCCTACAGTCACACATAAACTTTGATTAGCTCCTACAGTCACACATAAACTTTAGTTAGCTCCTATAAGAGCTGAGACTGACCTCTATGCCCTCTAGTAATGTATCTATGATGGCTTGAGCTTGTTCTTTATCCCAGGTTTTACCCTCCCCTACCAGTGAGTCATCTGTCCATTGGATAAACTTGGCCAAGCTTTGACATACCTTGCTCTGACTGGAGACCAGAGAGTTGCTGAAATGGTTCAGGTGTTTGAACCAGGTTTAACAAATGTTATGATCAAACCAGGTTTAACAAATGTTTGGATCAAACCAGGTTTAACAAATGTTAGGATCAAACCAGGTTTAACAAATGTTTGGATCAAACCAGGTTTAACAAATGTTTGGATCAAACCAGGTTTAACAAATGTTTGGATCAAACCAGGTTTAACAAATGTTTGGATCAAACCAGGTTTAACAAATGTTTGGATCAAACCAGGTTTAACAAATGTTTGGATCAAACCAGGTTTAACCAAAGTTAGGATCAAACCAGGTTTAACAAGTGACAGGATCAATGTTCACATCACACTAGCTGACCCTTAGTTACCATATGTAACATCACACTGTCTGACCCTTAGTTACCATATGTAACATCACACTATCCGATCCTTAGTTACCATATGTAACAGCACATCACACTATCTGACCCTTAGTTACCATATGTAACATCACACTAGCTGACCCTTAGTTACCATATGTAACATTACACTATCTGACCCTTAGTTACCATATGTAACATCACACTGTCTGACCCTTAGTTACCATATGTAACATTACACTATCTGACACTTAGTTACCATATGTAACATCACACTATCTGACCCTTAGTTACCATATGTAACATCACACTATCCGATCCTTAGTTACCATATGTAACAGCACATCACACTATCTGACCCTTAGTTACCATATGTAACATCACACTATCTGACCCTTAGTTACCATATGTAACATCACACTATCCGATCCTTAGTTACCATATGTAACAGCACATCACACTATCTGACCCTTAGTTACCATATGTAACATCACACTGTCTGACCCTTAGTTACCATATGTAACATCACACTATCCGATCCTTAGTTACCAAATCAACTGACCTTTCTTGTGCCAGCAGTGGGTATCTTAGCAGGGTAAATATCTGCATGACTGTCTCCAGTATAACAGAGGCAGAGCCAGGCAGGACTTCCATCTTTCCCTTATTGACCACAGCCTTGATGAAGATGAGGGTCTTGTTGACCTCAGACATGGCAGACTTCAGCTGCTCCATATCCTGGTCAGTAGAAACAGGATTGATGCTAGTCTTGTCAAGTTGGTGGACTGTCAAGTTGGTGGACTGTCAAGTTGGTGGACTGTCAAGTTGGTGGACTGTCAAGTTGGTGGACTGTCAAGTTGGTGGACTGTCAAGTTGGTGGACTGTCAAGTTGGTGGACTGTCAATGTCAAGTCGGTCCCATGACAACCACTGTCCAGTCCCATGACAACCACAGTCCAGTCCCATGACAACCACTGTCCAGTCCTATGACAACCACTGTCCAGTCCTATGACAACCACTCCTATAATAGTGAGGTCAATGCTCCAGTGGAACCAGTCCAGTAATGAAGAGCATAGAATAGAAAAGACATCAAGTGGTGCAGTGGACAACTCTACCTTGGTTCCATCTGATTTGGTCTCCTCAGTGCTGGCCACATCAGATGGTGGCAGGTTCACTTTTTCCTGTTTTTTTGCCAACAATTTGGCATGGCCATCTTTAAAAAACATGCTAGGCAAGTGAGAGTTGACCCGGAACAAAAATTAACTTATTTGGCCATCAGTTCACAGTCTTATAGCAGTACACAGCCAGATGGAATCTACCACTTAAGAACAAGCAACTGCATCCATGCATTTCTTAAAATGGTCTATCACTAAACAGAACTAAGTAACAACACAGCACATTTAAAACCAGTTTGAGTACTTAAGCAGATTATTAGAACTGTAACTATGACTGACTATAATGGTCTATCACCAAACAGAATTAAGTAACAATACAGCACATTTAAAACCAGTTTGAGTACTTAAGCAGATATTAGAACTGTAACTATAACTGACTATAATGGTCTATCACCAAACAGAACTAAGTAACAACACAGCAAATTTAAAACCAGTTTGAGTACTTAAGCAGATATTAGAACTGTGACTATGACTGACTAGCTGGGTGACTCCACTGAGTGACCATTAGCTGGGTGACTACACTGAGTGACCATTAGCTGGGTGACACCAGTGAGTGACCATTAGCTGGGTGACTCCACTGAGTGACCATTAGCTGGGTGACTCCACTGAGTGACCATTAGCTGGGTGACTCCACTGAATGGTAACAACTAGCTGGGTGACACCAGTAAGTGACCATTAGCTGGGTGACTCCACTGAGTGACCATAAGCTGGGTGACTCCACTGAGTGTCCATTAGCTGCGTGACTCCACTGAGTGACCATTAGCTGGGTGACTCCACTGAATGGTAACAACTAGCTGGGTGACACCAGTGAGTGACCATTAGCTGGGTGACTTCACTGAGTGACCATTAGCTGGGTGACTCCACTGAGTGACCATTAGCTGGGTGACTCATGTCAAAAGCTACTGGTGACTGGTGTTTACAGCAATTAACCAGAACCTAACTAAACACTAAACCTTTCTCTTACAATCACAGCTTTACAGCAATTAACCATACCCCAGATAAACCCTAAACCCTCTCTTACAATCTCAGCTAACAACTAATCACATATCTAGGCACCCCCCCCCCTCCCAACTACAGCACCTAATACACACCAATCAGTATTCCACCAGCACACTGGTCTAAAACACTAGCCCTCCTGCCCTCAGCACCCTTCAACCCACACCACCCCCACAAACACACAGATGAAACTACATTCCAGTGAGATATCCACAGGCAAATGTATTGGAAGAGATCCAAGCTAAAACCACCCTGGTGCCAGACTTAATCCTTGTCTTCAGATCATTGCATTTGACACCAACACAGAATAGTGCATGGTATGTGGTTTCACATAGTGAATACCAGTAGGCTACACCAGTGGCTAGTGGCTACATGTCTGACCACACCACCACCCTAGTGGCTACATGTCTGACCACACCACCCTAGTGCCTACATGTCTAATCACACCACCACCCTAGTGCCTACATGTCTGACCACACCACCACACTAGTGCCTACATGTCTGACCACACCACACTAGCGGCTACATGTCTGACCACACCACCACACTAGTGGCTACATGTCTGACCACACCACCACCCTAGTGCCTACATGTCTGACCACACCACCCTAGTGCCTACATGTCTAATCACACCACCACCCTAGTGCCTACATGTCTGACCACACCACCCTAGTGCCTACATGTCTGACCACACCACCCTAGTGGCTACATGTCTGACCACACCACCCTAGTGGCTACATGTCTGACCACACCACCCTAGTGGCTACATGTCTAATCACACCACCACCCTAGTGGCTACATGTCTGACCACACCACACTAGTGGCTACATGTCTGACCACACCACACTAGTGGCTACATGTCTAATCACACCACCACCCTAGTGGCTACATGTCTGACCACACCACACTAGTGGCTACATGTCTAATCACACCACCACCCTAGTGGCTACATGTCTGACCACACCACCACCCTAGTGGCTACATGTCTAATCACACCACCACCCTAGTGGCTACATGTCTGACCACACCACCCTAGTGCCTACATGTCTGACCACACCACCACCCTAGTGGCTACATGTCTGACCACACCACCCTAGTGGCTACATGTCTGACCACACCACCCTAGTGGCTACATGTCTGACCACACCACCCTAGTGCCTACATGTCTGACCACACCACCCTAGTGGCTACATGTCTGACCACACCACCCTAGTGCCTACATGTCTGACCACACCACCCTAGTGGCTACATGTCTGACCACACCACACTAGTGGCTACATGTCTGACCACACCACACTAGTGGCTACATGTCTGACCACACCACCCTAGTGGCTACATGTCTGACCACACCACACTAGTGGCTACATGTCTGACCACACCACACTAGTGCCTACATGTCTGACCACACCACACTAGCGGCTACATGTCTGACCACACCACCACACTAGTGCCTACATGTCTGACCACACCACACTAGTGGCTACATGTCTAATCACACCACCACCCTAGTGGCTACATGTCTGATCACACTACCCTAGTGGCTACATGTCTGACCACACCACCCTAGTGGCTACATGTCTGACCACACCACCACCCTAGTGGCTACATGTCTGACCACACCACCCTAGTGGCTACATGTCTGACCACACCACACTAGTGCCTACATGTCTGACCACACCACCCTAGTGGCTACATGTCTGATCACACCACACTAGTGGCTACATGTCTAATCACACCACACTAGTGGCTACATGTCTAATCACACCACCCTAGTGGCTACATGTCTGACAACACCACCCTAGTGGCTACATGTCTGACCACACCACACTAGTGGCTACATGTCTGACCACACCACCCTAATGGCTACATGTCTAATCACACCACCACACTAGTGGCTACATGTCTGACCACACCACCACACTAGTGGCTACATGTCTAATCACACCACCCTAGTGGCTACATGTCTGACTACACCACCACCCTTGTGGCTACATGTCTGACGACACCACCACCCTAGTGGCTACATGTCTGACCACACCACCACCATAGTGCCTACATGTCTGACCACACCACCACCCTAGCGGCTACATGTCTGACCACACCACCACCCTAGTGGCTACATGTCTGACCACACCACACTAGTGGCTACATGTCTGACCACACCACCCTAGTGGCTACATGTCTAATCACACCACCACCCTTGTGGCTACATGTCTGACCACACCACCACCCTTGTGGCTACATGTCTGACGACACCACCACCCTAGTGGCTACATGTCTGACCACACCACCACCCTAGTGGCTACATGTCTGACCACACCACCACCCTAGTGGCTACATGTCTGACTACACCACACTAGTGGCTACATGTCTGACCACACCACCACCCTTGTGGCTACATGTCTGACCACACCACCACCCTTGTGGCTACATGTCTGACCACACCACCACCCTTGTGGCTACATGTCTGATGACACCACCCTAGTGGCTACATGTCTGACCACACCACACTAGTGGCTACATGTCTGACCACACCACCCTAGTAGCTACAAGTCTGACCACACCACCACACTAGTGGCTACATGTCTGACCACACCACCACCCTAGCGGCTACATGTCTGACCACACCACCACCCTAGCGGCTACATGTCTGATCAGACCACCACACTAGTGGCTACATGTCTGACCACACCACCCTAGTGGCTACATGTCTGACCACACCACCCTAGTGGCTACATGTCTGACCACACCACACTAGTGGCTACATGTCTGACCACACCACCCTAGTGGCTACATGTCTGACCACACCACCCTAGTGGCTACATATCTGACCACACCACCCTAGTGGCTACATGTCTGACCACACCACCCTAGTGGCTACATGTCTGACCACACCACCCTAGTGGCTACATGTCTGATCACACCACCCTAGTGCCTACATGTCTAATCACACCACCACCCTAGTGCCTACATGTCTGACCACACCACCACACTAGTGCCTACATGTCTGACCACACCACACTAGCGGCTACATGTCTGACCACACCACCACACTAGTGGCTACATGTCTGACCACACCACCACCCTAGTGCCTACATGTCTGACCACACCACCACCCTAGTGGCTACATGTCTGACCACACCACCCTAGTGGCTACATGTCTGACCACACCACACTAGTGCCTACATGTCTGACCACACCACCCTAGTGGCTACATGTCTAATCACACCACCACCCTAGTGGCTACATGTCTGACCACACCACACTAGTGGCTACATGTCTGACCACACCACACTAGTGGCTACATGTCTAATCACACCACCACCCTAGTGGCTACATGTCTGACCACACCACCCTAGTGGCTACATGTCTGACCACACCACACTAGTGCCTACATGTCTGACCACACCACCCTAGTGGCTACATGTCTAATCACACCACCACCCTAGTGGCTACATGTCTGACCACACCACACTAGTGGCTACATGTCTGACCACACCACACTAGTGGCTACATGTCTAATCACACCACCACCCTAGTGCCTACATGTCTGACCACACCACCACAC